GGGGCACCCCCAGCCATTCCCAGGAAGTTCTAGGAGGGGCCCCCCAGGCTTTATTAAAAAAGGAAAAAAAAAAAAAAAAAAAAGAGTTCAGCCGTTGCGAGGCTTTCCAGATCGAGGCTTTCCAGATGCTTTTTATTTGTTTTGGTTTATTTTTGAACAGCCCAGTGCAGGCGGGCTGGATTTGAACCGCCACAGCTGGCACACGTAGCACATACTTCCCTGGGAGCTGCAGCGCGGCCACGCTTACGTACCGGATCCGAGCGGAGCCGTAGCCAAGGACGCTCTCCCTGTCTCCCCAGCCAGGATCCCGCGTCCCTGTCCCGCTTGACCATCACGGACCTGCTGCCGGACCTGCAGCACATCCTCTTCTGGATGTCCAACGCCATCGAGATCCTCTACTTTGTGCAGCAGAAGTCCCCCACCTACATCCAGAGCATGGAGGAGGAACTGGATATCAAAGGCAGGATGCGGGGCCCGTGGTGGCCGATGCCGTGGCCGGAAGGAGGGGATCAGCCAACATCGCCCTGCACATGGGGCACCCTGTGCTCCCATGGGCTCCCTGGGGAGCAAGGCACTGGACATCCCCATTCCCACACTGTGGGAGCTGGGCCGAGCCGCTGGCACGTTCTTAACTGGTGACAGCTCCGCCAGACGGACAAAAATAGGAGCGCTGGGCAGGAGTGGAGAGCTGGGAGCAAGCTGGGATGGGAGCCCTGGGTGCGGGATGCAGCTGAGCACTGAGCTGCGTCCAGAATACAGGGTCTTCCATGCCTGCTCCGATCAGATGCTGTTCCCTGCATGGGGCCATCCCGACATCCTGCCCATAGCCGCCCAGCTGCCCAGCTCACTTAGGCATCATCTCCATCTCCTCCGCCCTAGGGTCCAAGGAGTCTCTGTTCTCCTCGACCATCACGGCGAGCGAGGAGGCGATGACGGTGCTGGAGGAGGTCATCATGTACACCTTCCAGCAGTGCGTCTACTACATCTCCAAGGTGTGCGCTCTGTGTGGGGGCTTCCATGGACAGCAGCAGCCCATGTTGGCTCCCGTGTTCCGCAGTCACAGCACACCGAGGTGTTTTCCTTTGGGTTGAAAAGCTCCGATTTTGGTTACTTCCCAAGGAAAGCATCGCATGCTGGCGGCGCTTCCCCAGATTGGGAGAGGGAGGAGCGCGGGGAAAGCGGGAGCCCGTGCCGCACAAGGGGCCGATTCACGGGGAGAGCGGACAGAGCGCGCAGTGTGCGGGGCAGAAAGGCGGCTGTGTCCGCGGCGCCGGCCGCTTCCCGCGAGCTCGCAGGACCACGCGGCCTTTTTGCCGGCATCTGGGCGGATTTCTTCCATGCGGCTCTCGTGGGGCTAAACTTGCCTGAAAACGTCAGCTGCTCCGTTGGCTAAGCCACAGCCTCCATGCTTTAGCCTCCGGGAGGCAGCTGTTGGATGCTGCTCTTAAGCCATAGGGAAAGGTCCTTTTGCAGAAGAGATGAGGTCTGAAGGGTTTGTCCGAGGGGGGAAAAAAGCGGGAAAGGATAAAAAGGAGCCCGTCCTGCCGCGTGTCCCCGCAGTGTCTGTACGTGTCGCTGCCCGCGCTGCTGGAGTGCAACCCCTTCCAGAACGAGGGCCGCGAGCCGTGGCGGGCCGCGCCCGCGCCGACGAGCTGCGCCGCGTCGTGCTCGTCTACCAGGCGGCGCTGGACCTGCTGCGCCAGTACGAGGTGCACCCCGAGGTCACGTCGCAGATGTTCGCCTACCTCTTCTTCTTCTCCAACACGCTGCTCTTCAACCAGCTCCTGGAAAAGGGTCAGTCCATGGCGAGCGCCCAGCTGGGGCCAGGTGCTCCGTGCCTGGCTGGTGCTGATGGCTGTGAGGGAGCATCCTGGGGTGGTGGAAAGCAGGTCCATCCCTATCCCCGGCCTTGGGAGGTTGTGGGGCTGGGAGAAGGGGAAGGTTGAGGCGGCAACATCTCAGCACCATCCTCACGGGAAGGCTGAACCCAAATCCAGCTCTGGGCCAGCCCATCTCTGCCCTCCAGGAGATGATAGACCTTGTGCCTGCTTAGAGTGAGAGCAGCAAGAGAGCTGCAGCTTTGCACCCAAGCAGACACCAAGGACACCACCTTCCCCAGAGCCACCTGCTTTCTGAGCCCCTGTTTTTAATTGAGAAGCAAGATTGTGCTCGTTAGCCCTAATTAACCCAGCGGGGTCTGGCACGGGGGCAGCGCTGATCCCTGCGCCCCGCAGGCTGCTCCCTGGGCTGCTTCCACTGGAGCCAGGGCGTGCGGCTGCGCGCCTGCGTGCGGCTGCTGCTCGAGTGGCTGCGCGGCGCCGGCTTCGAGCAGCTGGCCCGGCAGTTCTTCGCCA